ACAGGCCTCCCCAGCCCCAGAGGGAAACGCTTTCCCCTACTTCTTCCCCATCGCTGTGGGGTGGGGAAGGAGGGATCTATGGGATGCTGCCCAGCCCCAGAAGAGGACTCTTCCCCCCCACTCCTCCTCCCCCCACCCCCCAGGGCAGGGGGAGGCTCTGTTCCATGTTGGGGGGAACTCTTCCCCCTCCTCCTCCCCCCAGAGGGGCAGCAGGAGTGCAGAGCTCAGCTGGGCAGGGTGTGGGTGTGTGAGAGAGGGTGGGGGTGTGTAGCGACCACCACCCCCACCCATGGCATGCAGCCCCCACTGCCTGGCAGCAGCAGCAGGCGGGGAGGTCAGGTCACTTGTGCCCAGCACAGGTGCGGCCCTGGCCAGCACTGCGCGAGACAAGGGAGCTGACCTTGCAGTCGGGGAAGCCCTTCATTGGAGCCTGCTGCTTCCCTCACTCCCTGGCATTCAGGCCCTTGCACTCTGCTGGGAGTGGAGGAAGCCTTGCTGCCTGCTTCCCCACAGAGTCCAGCATGGGGCTTCCCTATGTGTGGAGCTGCAGGCACACAACGCAGAGCCCCTGTGGTAGAGGCAGCCAGCGCTGCGCTGGGGGTGAGAAGTGCAGGCCTGCACAGCCTGCCTGGCAACTTCTATCCCCGTGGCTCCATGTCACACCTGCAGCTCCGCACTCGCACAGGGAAGCTCCACGCTGGACTCTGCAGGGAAGCAGGGGGTAGGGCTCCCTCTACTCCCAGCAGAGTGTGAGGACCTGCATGGCAGGGAGTGGGGGAAGCAGCAGGCTCTGGCTTCCCTGCTGCAAGGGCTGGAGTTGCAGGCTCAGGTTCAGGGAGCAGAGCCTCATGGATAAGGTAGGCTCCACTCCCATGTGTATGAGTGCCCTGACTTCCCACCCTGCTGCTGCATGCCACGGGGGGAGGGTGTGGGGGTCCCTACACCCCCCCCCCTCCCTCACACCTACACCCTGTCCAGCTGAGCTCTGCACTCCCACTGCCCCTCTGGGAGGAAGAGGAGGAGGAAGGGTTCCCCCCAGCATGGAACAGAGCCTCCCCCTGCCTTCTGCCCCTGCTCTGGGTCCTGACAGCATCACATGGAGCCCCACCCTCTCAGCCCTGCAGTGCTGGAGGGGAAGGGGAGGAGGAGGAGGAGGGGGAAGAGTCCCCCCACAGCATGGAACAGAGCCCCCCTCCCCACCCTGTGGGACAACCAACCCAGCATGGTCCTGTTAAGAAGAAGGGGGGAGAGAGAAGAGTTAATTCCCTCCTCTGTCCCTTCCCTGCAGCTGGGGTCTGTCAGCTCCAGGGGCCACCACTGCAGCCCCCTCCCCTCTGCTCCCCAGAAGACAGGCTGACCCAGGCTGCGGTGGGGGAAGAGCAGAAAGAGGGGGCTGCAGTGCCTTAACGGGGTCATACCAGCCACTGTCTCTGCTAGGGCCGCTCCCTGCTCCACCTAGAGAGCAGAGAGGCGGGGTCGGCCCAGCGGCTGGAGCAGAGAGCCCTGCCCATCCCAGAGAGCATGCCGGGATGCTGGGAGTGTCTGGTTTATCTTAAACCAGCAAGAGATCTGGAACAGACATTGCATAAATCGGTTTGACCTAAATCAGTTAAGTCTAATACTACATTCAACCAGGTTTGTCTCAAACCGGTTTTGGCCATTTAGAAACTGGTTTATGTGCACTGAATGTCTGTTCTGTTATAGGTTTAAACCAATTTCTGATCACTTACACCAGTTTATGTGTAATGTCTGTCTCTAGCCAGGCTGAGGATCCCCAGAGGTCTGCGGACCAAAGGTTGAAAATCACTGATATAAAACAACACACTGTTTGACTGAGCAAACATATGCTTGAGCAGTAACATGGTTTAGAAACTGTACATATTTACTTCTAAAGGGTTCAGTCTTTCTCTGTCCTCTGAAGTAGTAATGTGCTGTCTAGTCTAAGAAGTGCTACATTAAACTCAGAAGGCGACATTGATGAGCTGGCTTTGGATTCTTGAATAAAGATTGATGTTCCAGGAAAGAAGATGGCTGTCCTGAGATGGGATCCATCTGATGAAGACTGGGAAGAATATTTTTATCCATCATCCAGCTAATCTGGCAAGGAAGGCTTTAAACTAGGTCCCAGGGAGGCTGGCAAAGAAAATCCATCAGCTATGGTGCAATAAAAACCAAGAGATGAGGACCTAGAGAAGAGGCCTAATTCTAAAAGAGGACTGAGGAACCACAATATAGCAGAAAGTGATCCAAGAGAAGAACAGAAAGGCAGTACCTTTGATGCTCATATACATACACAAGGAGTGTAGGGAACAAGCAGGATAATCTGGAAGGCTTGGTACGTAAGAAAACTATGACTTGGCATTACAAAAATATGGTGAGATAACTCTCACAAGTAGAATATCAACACTGCCAGATTTTCCTTGTTTTGGAAGGACAGGACAGGTTCAAAGAGAAGGGGAGAGAGTGGATGACCATGCTATATTTTAAGAATGTGTATGTTTGTTCCAAGGTCCAAGATATAGAAAGTATTATATCTATCAAGTGTATGTCAAGGAAGATAAAAGTAAAGAATAATAGAAGTTCTTTGGGGGTCTAGTATAGACTGCCTAATCAGGGGGAAGCGGTAGATAATGAATTCTACAAATAGGTTACAAAAATATCTAAAATGTATGCTATTGTAGTAATGTAGGGTTTTGTTTTCTCTGCTATCTGTTGGAATAAAAATATAGGACGTAAGTTCTTAGCTTGTGTAGAAGACAACTTTTTTGCTCCATAAACTGAGGATACAACTATGGTGGGGGGGGTCAACTATCATGGTTCTTGGCCTGACGAACAGGGAAGACCAGATTGTACATGTGAAAGTGATCAGAAATTTGGGAAGAAGTTATCATGATATGATAAAATTAATGATTCTATGAAAAAGGATGCATAAGAATAGCAAAACTAAGGCAAGGGACTTCTAGATGACATATATGAACCAACTCAGACATATAGAAGGTCCCACAGACAGAAATATTAAAGAAGAAAGGTGTCCAGGAGGGCTGGTAATTCTTAAAGAACTTAGCATTAGAGGTTCAGTAAAAAAAATATTCCAACTCAGTGGAAGACTAGAGAAGCTACAGGAGATTGAGGGAACTATACAATGAGCTTTGTAGCTACCTCAAAAATGAAGCTAAACATACAGGTATGCAAGGAAGAATCATTACAAAATTTTACCGAGGAGAAGAAAGGATGTATAAGGACAAAATCAGCAAAGCAAAGGTGAAAAGTGAAATACAAGGCAAGGGATATTAAAGACAACAAGAAGAGGTTCTTGAGGGATGATCACTAGCAGCCAGAATATATTCGTTAAGAATGAATCATGCCAAACCAACTCAATTCTCTTCTTTGACAGGGTAACTACTTTGGCAGATGAGGAAAACACAGTAGACACAATATACCTGGACTTTAGTAAGGCTTCTGACACAGTCCAACATGACATTTTCATATCCAGGTTCACCGCTAGAAAACCAAGGCTTGTTTTTTTACTCACGGGGAATTCCAGAAGAGGAGCTACACTAGCAAACAGCTGTAGGATAAAGGGCTTGCGATGCAGAATGTAGAACTGGCGGCAGGCAAACTCAATTGCTTGGCGTAACTGAGGGTTGCTTTCATAGTCAGCATATACCTGGGAAGGGGAAACAAAGAGATAAAAATACTGCTTCAATTTTTAAGAAATGAACAAACAGTGAATTCTGCAATATATTTTGGGCCTGGAAAACAATATTTCCTTCCTAAATGCCCAGGAATCCTGTACCAAGGGTGTCTGACTAGATGCAGGATTTAATAAACATTTGTCCCTCAGAGCTTCATAAACAATATCATTACCTCTGAGCCTCCCTTTTACATTTCCTTGTTTTGTCCATTTTAATAGCCTGTCTGCTTCATTTCCCTACTGAAACAGCAAGTTGCCTAAAAAACACAAGGAATATACTATTCTTGCTATATTAAGGCAACAAGCCATAATAAATTCTTGCCTACAGGATGAAATTCACTCAACTGCAGAGGATACATGGGGGATCCTCCAGAAGCCAGAAAACCCTGTATGGTCATAAGCAGGAATTGAAGAAAAGGAGCTGAGCTGCACACAGAGTGGGTGAACTCTGCACCTGCGTAGAATGGAATTTGGGGCTAAGACAAAGACACACCAACCTGTTAGGGACTGACACTTGAGAACCCATTCATGGAGGTGCAGAAAGGGAGCAGCTGCCATTCTAGTCCATAGGCTAGAGCTGGGTGCATTTCATTTGTCCCTCAGCAGTACCCAGTAAAGCCCAACTCTTCCAAAATGTATCACCATGTGAGAGCTGCATGGGAATTGTGCTGTACTTTATCATAGCAAACAGGCTCATGAAGCTGAAGGGACTAACTCTACTTAGAATACAAACAGTCCAAAACACTGGAAAGATCTGTAGCCCGTTTAATATTTCAGAACATGCAATGTTGTGATCGGCACTAATGTATGCCTTATGTACAATGTACAAATAAATTGGTGGAACCAAATAAAGATAAAGATGCTCTAGGGGGAGGAGCAAAACAAGGGTGATTAAATCATGGACAGTTGAACTATGATCAAAACACAAAATTGATGGGTGGCACATTGTGCATGTGGATTATGATGGTATGAAGTCAGCTAATCGTGGTTGGGTAGAAGTGCAGGCAGAGATGTCTGATATTTACTTACTAAAAAAAAGTATTGTCTATGGGATATTGTATGTTGCTCCTCCCCTATCCAACATCTATTTGTTCATCTTCACAGACCCAATTCCATTGATCTCAGTGGGACTTGAGCATAGTTAAGCATGTGCATTTACCCTGGTAGCCTTTCTATTGCATACTCTATGGGGTGGGACTTCATCTTGTCTCTTGGAGGATAGCCCTTAGCACACCATGGGCTCATTTGTAACTCAAAACAATAACAGACTTTTTGTGAGCTGCGGCAAGGCACTTCACCTTTTCACTTTGGTTTTCCCATGTGGATAAAAGAGAAGTTAAGCATGTTAAATACATAGCAATCCTCTGAGGATTATTGTTGATAAAGCCATTTTAACAATGGATATCACTAAACACTAATAGGCTTCATTATTATAGCTTTAGCTGATGAGACAGAAGAATTTTAAAGTCTCCTGCTTCTTGCTTAGTGGGAGGACAGCCAGTAGGTTGTTAATCTTCAGTTCTCAATGGTAGCTGAGAAAGAAGAGGTTCACCTGCAGCATGGTGGGAAGGATCCATTGGTATCCACTGAGGGAGAATAGATGGTTGAAGTGCACAGCAGTGTTGATGACAGTAGCAGCATATTGCCTCAGCAAAGCACTGTCCTCTGGGTGCAGGATCAAGGCTCCATTAAAGACATTTAGGAAAAGCATGATTTCATCCCCCCAAGGAAACTCGCTGGGCATACCAAGAAACATCTCCTCCAGGAGCTTAATCCACAGGCTTTTCTGAAGAGTATCAAGGCCAAATAGCTCCTTCCCAGCTGTAAGAACAATGCAGGCAACATGTAACTTAATTAATAACTTTTGCCCAAAGAAGCATTTTTAGTCTGATAACATCCCCAAAGGAAGGAACATGCTGACCAAGTGTCTTCATACAGATTCCTTGATTCTAGCAAAAGAGATTACCACTTTGGCTACTTCTATTTTGGCTATAGGTGCTTTTTAAAGTAGGATTGGAATCAAATTCACCTGTGCCTTAGCTTCATTGATATCAACAGGGTTTGACCAATTGTGTTTCAAAGGGCGTAAAGGGCTCATAAGAAGTACAAAGGCAATAGGCATCATAGGGTGTTACTAATCTTTATCCTACTAGTTTAAAATTCATTTGATTCTCCATTCTCTTTTAAGCTACAGAAGATCAAAGCTTGCACGCACCACTGGCAGTTGTCTGGTGTATATTTATAGGAAAGGCAGGAGGATCAATGCTGTATTTTTACCCTTATGATCAGTGACACTCAGTCCTGGTTCAGGAGCCAGATAAGCAGCTAGTATTAGCCACAGAACCACAACAATTCTTGTTCTATGTGAATTGTGACATAAACCCTCCAGTTCAAAAAAAGAAACTACCTTCTACCTGTCATGGATCCACAGGCAGAAACTCTCTAGAGGATTCCCTGGCTATCCTTAAGGTAGGTGGTGGGGGAGGCTGTGGGAAATATTCTGTTGGCAGTGACTGCTGGGGGGGGTTCCTGTGAAGTAAGGGGGAATGGAGGTTCCCAGATGAGGGTCTAGCTGTGGCTATGAGGAGGTTGACCCCAGGAGATTGTCACAGAAATTTTTATGAGGGATAGGTGGTAGTCCGAATGTCATGTAAAGATTTGTTCATTTTATTTTACCATACTCTGTTGTGAAAGCCTTTGATCACTTCTTTTTTAAACCATTTGCTTTTTCCTTGTAATAAACTCTTTTGTTTTTTTCTGTTACTGTTCCAAAGTACCTATGATAAACTGTGATTTCTGGGCAAATTAATCTGGGCATGCCTGGCCAGCAGAGTGGGGGACAAATAGGTTTACAGTGTCAACTTTACATAAACCAAGCGTGTATCTCTGAGAGCACCCTGGCATGCTAGGGGTTTGTCATACAATCATGTGTGGATTTATGGTGAAATTTCAACAAGTGGCACTGGATGTCCTTTCTACAGGGCAGTACATGAAGTCAAAACAAACAGAAAACACAAAAAACCCCATACAGCTCAGAAGCTGCAGGCTATGAGTGTCAAGGATATCCCAGTACAGGACAATGACAGGTTCTTATAGTGCAGCTTCTGAAAGGGGATGCCTTTAAGTCCAGCACATATCGAGTGACATAACCTGTCAATGTTCACCACTCAATGAAAATTACAGCCTCTAGTGCAGTGGATGATCTCACCTAGGCCAAAGTTTGGTTTGAAATCCTAGCTATCTTTAAGGGTCATCTTGTGTAAAGACACGGTCCTTAAATATCTCCTGCAAAATCTGCACACGTAACCACTCTGACAGCACAGCCCATATTTGCACATGTAAGTTGAAACTTGTCATACATAATTACCTCTTTAGTATGTGGAGTTATCTAACTAGTATAAGCCATGTCACATACACAACTATAAAAATACAGGCTTCAGTTTTTGTGGGCACTGAAATCTGCACCCACATTTTGGAAAAAAATGGCCCGAATATTAGTAATCAGGGCACGTAGATGCATGTAACTGAGGCCATGATCCAATGTCCACAGAAGCTAATGGAAAGATTCCCATTAACTCCAGTAGGGATTTGATCAGGTAATAGGGGCTTGAACAGCTTCAACATGCTTACATCAGTGGAACTGAGACCACCCTTTACAGTGTTGTAGATAAAAAGCAGACAGAGGAAACAGACAGGGGAATAAGTCACAGCCTGTTTGTACTGAGCAAATGATAGCCTCAGGACGGAAGTGGACAGATAATGCCTACACCAGTGTATTTTACACAACTCCATAGAATTAATCAAGAAAAAAACAGAGGAAAGGTTCTTGTGTAAGTTACACTGGTATAAGTGCTGAAGTTACACTGGTATAGATGCTATCTGCCCACAAGGTCAATGCAAGCAGGCTATGATCTACTCTCCTCCCACCTAATGGCAAGGGGTTGCAGTGATGCCTGCAAAAGCTGGTTGGTTCTTCACTCTGACTCCTGGTGTTAATTTACATTGGTTGTCCTGCCCAGGCTTTTAAATAATGAATGATACTATGCTGCAGCATCTTTACTGCAGTTATGTTTATGTCCCCACATCAGGATAATGTTCCTGTTGGGAAATGCTACTAGTTTCATAGTTTCATAGTAGCTAGGGTCAGGAGGGACCTGAACAGATCATCTAGCCTGACCCCCTGCCACAGGCAGGAATGAATGATGGGTTCACAACACGCCAGACAGGTGATCATCCAACCTCCTTTTGAATTTGCCCAAGGTAGGGGTGAGGACCGCTTCCCTGGGAAGTTGGTTCCAGATTTTGGCCACCCTAACTGTAAAATATTGCCTTCTGATCTCTAACCTAAACCTATTCTCCATCAGCTTATGACCATTGTTCCTTGTCACCCCAGGTGGTGCTGGGGAGAAAAGAGCTCTGCCTATTTGCTGTTGATTCCCCCAGATGAGTTTGTAGGCAGCCACCAGGTCCCCCCTCAGCCTCCTCTTGCTGAGACTAAACAGGTTCAGGTCCTTCAGTCTCTCCTCATAGGGCCTGTCCAGCTGCCCTCTCACCAAGCAGGTAGCCCTCCTCTGAACCCTCTCCAGGCTGGCCACATCCCTTTTGAAGTGTAGCGCCCAGTACTGGACTCAGTACTCCAACTGCGGCCTGACCAAAGCCACATAGAGGAAGAGTATCACCTCTCTGGACTGGCTTGAGATGCATCTTTGGATGCATGACAAGGTATGGCTGGCCTTTCTGGCTGCGGTCTGACATTGGCAGCTCATGTTCATCTTGGAGTCAACAATGACTCCAAGATCCCTTTCCGCCTCTGTGCTTTGAAGAAGGGAACTCCCCAGCCTGTCTGTATGCTGTGGGTTCCTTCTCCCAAGGTGCAGCACCCTGCATTTGTCTATGTTGAACCCCATCCTATTCTCGTTTGTCCACTTTTGAACGCCCCTGCAAGACACAAACAGTAATCTGGTGGCCACGTCAGACAAGAAAGCTGATATTTTTAACAGTTTCTTTGCCTCTGTGTTCTTGAGCAGGGACCTAGCCTGTGTGCTTTTTGTTTGAATACAGCCCTTGGTGCCAAGTTCAATATGCAAAGGCATGCATTGAAAACCCCACCAAAGGCTTCCCCCAGTACCTTGAGGATCACTGAAGAGTGAGAATTCTGCATCAATGGCACTTCTTGGGAAGGAAGGCAGGCGCAGAAGGTCCTCTTGGAGCATAGAGACATGGGACTGCTTGTGGGCAGTAGGGATTTTCTGGGTGAGTGATATCAGAAACAACACTCGCCCTACTTCCTCCAGCTTGCGGGTGAACACCTGGCAGAGAAAGGGACACACGTGGAGCAAAATCATGCCAGTCAGAAAGCTTTTCAAACAGAATACACACCTTTTAAGACTGTTTTTATCTCCAAGTGTAAAGAAAAGGTGGAAAGCCTGGGGTACAAGTGGCCTTAAATAACTATGCTCTTGATGGTCTTTAGTAGGCCTGTGTGAAGCAGCAAGAATTCACTTCAGATTCAGATTTGGCTGATTTGGAGGGAGACTGATTTGGTTTGGTGACTTGAATCACTGTCCTGATTCGATTCGGCCAATTCAGATTCACAGATTCGGCGCTGATTCAGAGATTCAGCCATTGTCTATAGTGGAGAATCACTAAAATACCTATAATTTTGTTATTTTTTTGCAGATTCAGATTAAAACAGTAGGAATGGTAGCCCCTTCTGAGGGAATGAAGCCTGCCAAGTTACAAGAAGATAGGTTCAGGGGTTTCTGTGAAAGTGCACCTCAAGCTGTTGAAAGCAGAACTCATATCACTTATATGTGTTAAGGCAGAGCAGGATGAAAACAGCAGGGATGGTAGCCCCTTGTGTGGGCATAAGGTCTGCCAGGTTTCAGGCAGAGTGGTGCAGGGGTTTCTGTGAAAGTGCACCTCAAGTTTCTAAAAGCAAATTAAAAGAGCAAATAGGTGTGGTGTGAGGAGAGTGGCACTCACTCTATCTGCACCTGGAGCTTGGGGAACCCTAGCAGCAGGAGGTTCACCTTCAGGAACACCAGCTGCTCCACCAAACCAGGATCCAAGGAGGTCTGGTGGGGTGTCACAACATTCCCAGCAATGCTGAACACCCTCCTGCTTGGAAAACTGGTCAGTGGACAGAAGAGGTGATCCTGGGCAACCGTGGCCAGATCCTGCCACACCTGACTGTGGGATGTCCAATAGGCCAAGGGGTTGCAGTGCAGTGGCTCCACAATCTTGGTGAGATAGGTACCTACTGAGGCCTCCGAGGCTACCTGCCTGATGGTGGGGTCTGGGGCCTCTGAACCACATTGATGCCATGCCCTTGGCCCACATTGGCAGCAGCTGTGGACGAGGAGATTGGTTTATGGTTGGAGTGCCGGCATGGGAAGGTGGATCCCCCTCTTCCACATCCCCCTGCCTCTGCCCTTCTGCCTCCCTTGCTCTGTTCACCAGCACCTCCATCCAGTGATTGAGGGTTTTGCTGCTGCAGACACTCCCCTTCACCCTTGGGTTGCACCCATGGACCATACTGAACCACAACAGATACAGCCATTTTTTGATGCCCTCCTTCAGCTGCTTCACCAGTGCCTGCACCTCTGGTGACAGTGGCCTGCCCCAGCCGAGAACATCGATCCCCTGGAACTTCTTCATTTCATTCTCAAGTTCCTTCACTATGGGGATCACCTGGCTAAGGAGGGCATTGCCAGCGCTGAGGGTCTCGGTGGCCTCAAGAAACGGCTTGAGGACCACCAAGATCTGGGAGATGGTATCCCACTCTGTTTTGTTAAGGGGGCCACTGATCCCAATCTCCTCGACCAAGGCCATCTCATGGAAAGGCTTCTGTTGCTCCACCAGCCTTTCCAGTATCAGGTATATGGAGTTCCACCGAGTCTCCACATCCTGCATGATTTTGTGCTGCAGGATGCTCAGCTCTGCCTGTTTCTCCTACAGCATCTTGCCCACCTTGATGTTCTGAAGGAAGTAGCCCGCCACCTTCCTGCATTTTGAAATGAGCTGGCTGGTAGTGACAGTGCCATCATCGGGAGCCCTGCCCCAGTCCAAGGCATCCCTGACTATGAAGTGGAACTTGTGTGCCACACAGCAGATGCCAACAAAGTTGGCATCACGCACCATCTTGACCATACTGGCCTCATTGTCAGTGACCATGAACCCACGGGTGAGCTCACCATGCCCAATGAGCCACCCCTGCACCATGCAGTTCTGGCCACCATGGTCTCCCTTGCTACGTGGGACTCATCCATCACCTCGGCTTGAAGTAGAGCCCACTGTCGCCCTGACTGATTGCACCAGTGCCCCGTGAGGGAGAGATAGGCATGATCTCCACCCCAGCTGCTCCAGATGTCCAAGGTGAAGTGCAAGGCTACCTGAGGACCTTCCTTGTGCAGCTCCTCCCTCAAGTACTCCCTGCATGCCTCATACAGGGAGGGCACCACTGTCCTGCTAAAGGTGGTGTGTGCAAGCACTTGGTAGGATGGGGCCATGAGCATCATGAGCCGCCTGAACCCTGGATGCTCAACAAAGGAAAAGGGCTGGCCAGCCAGAGCAAGCATCTCCCCAATGTTCTGGGTGACCTTGCTAGCCTTGGGAATGTGTCCCACTTTGTCTTTGCCTTTCCCCCACTGGTCCAGGGTGGCCTGCCTCTGCTTCTTGAGGTCGGGGGCTTTGGAGCGAGATGGGGATTTCTTTTTGGGCGTGCTCCCACTGGTGCCAGGCTGAGGAGGAAAAAGGGCAAGGGGGTGCTGCCTCATGAAATGGACCAGCATTGCCGTGGTGGTGAAGTGTTTCACCTCCTTGCCCCAGCTGATCTGCCTTCATCAGTGCTGGCAGGTAGCATACATGGTATCATCTGCCACCTCAAAATGATCTCACACTACACTATCCATCTGCTTCTGGGTTGAGGGTGGAGATCCTGCCTTATCCCACTCCTCAGCAGGCAGAGGCACAATATAGGAGGAGCTGAGCCACCTGCCCCCACAACCTCCTCCAAAGTGACTTCCAGAGAAGGAGACCTGCCCCTAGGGGAACTTTGAGGAGTGTGGAGCACAAACTCAGAGTCCCCCTCCTTCCCGAGGATTTCCTTAGCTATGGCTCTCAGCACCTCTGCTTCCAGATCCAGCTCCTCCTCTGGCACTGAAAGGCTTAGGCTGAGAACTAAAACTGGGGTGGAGAATGTCATGCTGCTGCTGGTTAGTGATGTTATTGGTGGTGGTGCAGGTGCAGGCACTGCTACCACCTCCTTACTCCCACTAGCAGCAGAAGACTCACTGCTGCTAGGAAAGAGGGTGCATTTATGTTTGGGGTGGAGGGAACTTGCAGCTCTACCTCTGCCCCTTCTGCCTCCCCTGCCAGAAGCCGTGGTACCTGCCTTTCCAGCACGCTTCATAATGTTTGGTGCACTGCAAAATGTGTGTGTGTGTGTGTATGTGTGTGTGTATAATGTATGTTGTGCTTTCCTGCACAGTGATGACACGCTGTCAGGGAAAACACAAATTTCTTTTTGTGGGGGGAAAGAATCAAGACAGACTAACAAGAACGAATAACATGATTTTGGGGGAAGAGTAAGTTGAAAGGAATGGATAGGGATAACAAGAGGGATTGTAGGCAAGGGTAAGTAGGAAAGGATTGGATGCAATTTACAAGAAGAGAGACTAGCTAGCAAGAGACTAGCTAGCAAGCCAGAGCCTTTCGGACACTGCTGCTCCAAGAGAGAGACAGCTCACAAAAGGCACAGATCACTTCAGAGACAGCTTTATATGTTGTTTCTACATCCCTCCCCCAGAGCACTGTGATTGGAAGGCAACTCAGAGAAAGATCACAGTCACTGGCCAGCTACAGATGTCAAAATCAGAGCAGTCTTCCCCTCCTGCCCCAGCCTTTTCCAAATATGGAAGAACACCCCATCCTCCTCCCTCTTCTCAGTTTCTGTGTACTGCAAGCCTTCCGAATCTCTCTGAACCTCTCTGAATTGATTTGGAGGCTTCCGATTTGATTTGGACCTTTTAATAGGTCTCCTGATTTGAACTGGATTTGGAGATTCGGCTGGCGAATCGGGCTGAATCTCCTCCAAATTGAATCAGTTACCGAAGCTTCACACAGCCCTAGTCTTTAGTGTGATGAATGCTGTGTTAACACTCTAGGAGAGCACGTCAAGCCATAGGCTGACAAGGCTACAGCTCTGTTAGAGCCCTGCTCAATAACCACTTTCTGGCAAAGCTTGTAGTAGATTTTAATAAAACAAGTCAGGGAGTGTTCCCACTTCTTTTTGAGAAATATAACTGTGCTGAACTAAACAGTTTTATCACCACCCTGCTGTGGCAGGGCACTGGTTGCACCCGCAACTTTAAGGGCCTGGAGCTGGCAGCCGCCAGGTGCCTGATTAGGGCAGCCATTTTGGAACTGGGGCTGCCCATATAAAGGCGGCAGTTCTGCTGTGACAGGCCAGGCAACAACATTGCCTGGCTGAAGGGGTGCAGATCTCAATCTGGAGGTAAGGGAGGAGCTGTAGGGGATGGAAAGGAGGCTCCTGGTCCTAGGTACAACCTAAAACTGCACCCTGCTGGGAATGGGTGGCCTGGTAGGTCTCCAAGTGGCATGGGAGCCCCCAGGAAATGCCAGGCCAGTGACCGCCCCGGTGAAAGGTGGGTTTGGGTGCCTTAACCCCTAACCCCCACAACTGGGTGGGTTACCCCTTGTTTGGAGGGCCCGGAGGGTGGACCCTTGGAGAGAAAGAAAAAGGGCCATAAACTCAGGCCTGTCTGAATTTCCCCTGACTGGCCCAAGCTGGGGCCAGGACCAGAAGGGTCGAAGGGCTGGGGGCCCGCTGTGAGGAATGCCCAAGAGCTGAGGGCCTGGGGTTCCAACTGGCCTGGAGGTGGGCCAGGGCTAGAGAGCTGAAGGTCCTGGTGGGGGGATCACACCCGAAGGGGGATCGGTTCAGGGAGCTGTGTTTCCCAGTATGACGGCAGAAGAGTACGCCTGAAGGGAGGAATCCAGGTGGGGTTTAATAGTAGGATTCTGGGGCCCAGAGCAAGGGGCCAGTGATTATGAGAACACAGATGCTATCTGAGAGGCTTGGGCTGCGGTGTAAGGGAGGAATGGAGCCACAGATAGTGCCCCCTGGCATCGGGGCAGTAAATGGGCAGCCTCTCGCTTATTAACATCTATTTAACTAATTAACAACAAGGCGTGGTGGGCGATAATGCGGGCAGTTACCCCAGAAACAGGTGGGCGGGTTACGGTTAGATCAGCCCTGAGCAGGACCCCTGTTACACCTGCACAGAGGTCTGGAAGGGTTTTGGACACAGTTTGTAACCATGTTAGAAATGGACACTCACACTGGAAGCTGGATCCTAACCCAGCATTAATTAGCAAAGCTTCATTGATTTTTAATAGAGCTATACCCATTTATGACAGCTCAAGATCTAGCATTATAATTACACTAGTAGTTTTCTTAAATTTTCCATTAGCATGACTCCACTGCTGGTAGAAACAATCCAACTGCATCTAAAACACTAGCTCTGCAAAATGTACTCAAGGTCCAAACATGTTAGATCAATACTATGTATAACTCTTCTAACTCTCTTTAAAAATGGTTTCCAATAGGCTAGCCTCACTGGCGTTTGAATGCAAGTGGTCTAACACATGATGACGTTTGGCTTCTTCAGTATTCTGTATATTTTGAGCCTGGCTTGATGGGTATAGATTTGCAGTTGTTCTTCCCTTGTCCCATGGCCCTGTGGATGGCTTCCTTTGCATTGTCTTATTAAATTTGGATGCTAAGGACTCATCATAGGAAGGGAACTATAAACTGACTGGTAGAATGTTCAGTTTTTCCATGATGCAGCATTTTCCTTTTTAACTCTTCCCTAAGACCTAGAGGAACTAAGTATAATACAGAATATAATATAACCCTGTGATAAACCTGGACAGTTGATACAACTTCTTTCAATGTGTTAGACCCGTAGTTCCCTAGTGAATATAGTCTCTGGTAAAGATATAATCAAAATGATCAAATATCCTTTCAAATTTCCCCCCACTACCATTCCTATTGATGGATGTAGTATACAGGATAATTGGCTCATTGTCTCCTATTCCAAAGAGCAAAGCTATAAGATAGTATTGATTTTTAGGCACTTGCACTTATTTTAGCTGTTAGTTTCAAAGCAATAGTTATACAGTTACTTTTTACAACATTCCTGATTGTTTTTCCTTCTACAGCTCTCAAGTTGCTACTGTATGTACCTGAATCTAAGATAACTCTGAATTTAAGACAAACTTCCAATAATTAGCTTTTATACATGGGAAATTTATACATTTATTGCAATTTTCTATGTATAGTATCTAATTATTGGATGGTCATCTTAAATTCGCCCCCTCCCCCCCACTGCTGCAGGAGGGTAAGTGGTGGGGGGCAGATGGTGGGAGAGGCAGTGGGGGGCAGGTCATATAGAAGGTGGTAGAGGGGGCAGCAATGGGGCAGCGAAACAGCTTGACTCCTGCCCCTTGTCCCCTTACACATTGTCCCCTGTTGTCTATCCCCCCCACCACCTGCCCCGCTCTGCTGCCAGCCCCCAGGCCCTGTGTGCCTCAGCATCTACCCCCCTCCACTGTGCCTGTACACCCAGCATCTCCCTTCCTTACCCCCCTGCTATTCCCTCCTCTGATACCTGTCCCTCCCAGTGCCCCTACCTCCACCTCTCGCTACCTCTCCCCGCCATCTCTGCTCCCTTGCCACCACTGACCCTCTGGTTTTAGCTCCAGAATGTCTACAGTCCTGCTCTGGCCTGGGGCATGGAGCATGTGGTTGCTCCAGCACCAGCCTGGCTATGCAGCTGCTGCTGCAGTGGTAGCAGCTCCAGCCAGGCTCCAGATCCACAGCCCAGGCCAGAGCTGCTTCCACTCCTGTCACTGCTACCGAGCTGGGCTGGGGGCAACACAACCACATGCCCTGTACCCCAGACTGTAGTGGGGCCAGAGCCATGCTGAAAGGTAAGCAGTGAGGGGGAGGGGAAATGGAAGGCAGGCAGGGAGGGAAATGAAGGAGCAGAGGGGGTGGAGGGGAGATGGCATGATGGGGGAAGACAGGGGAGCAGAGGTGGCATGTGGCGGGGGAAGGGAGGCAGCAGCTAGAGCTGCAGCTACAGCTCCGACTCCAAGTCAGGGCCAGTGTTGGAACTGCAGCAGTCCCCCACTCCCCTGCTACCTTGCACTCCAATGAGGGGCTTTTCTCCAATGTTAAAGCAGAGGGTAGGGAACCTCATCTTGGATTCAAGTAAATACAGTAATAGCAAAAACAGGATGGCAGTTATGCAACTGTAATAATAACAGCATTGATATTGACCCCTTACAGTGTAATAATACTCAATTTCCCACTCATCTCCTGGTTAGTGTCATCCTTTCCATATATATCATGTTCTGTGCCTTTAATCTCCTCCCTAGTGATGTCACCCCTAGTGGATTACTTCTTGACATAATTTCACCACCAGGCATGTCTTACTGAGACAAGACAGGCTTATGGAGAAGCAAAAACTCTGAAGACAGAGTAGAAGCCACTCTATAGGTGGGTCTGTGTGGGCCCACTAACAGAGAAACTTCACCTTTTCTTCCCATCTGGACTTGGTGATGATCTCCTACTCTCTGAGGAGGTGATACTTCCAGTAGTAACTAGTGGATAAACACTGTCTCCCTGCATGGGCTTGAGATCTCTCAGAAGAGATGCTGGAGGCTCCAGGGAGAGCTAATAGAGCAGATGAGACACCCTATGGCAAAGCACAGAGATGCAGGCAGCTAAAATGAAGGCAACATGTGTGGATCAGAACTGCTCATGTGGTGCCCATTGTGGAGGGAAGCATGGAAAACTGTCCTAAGGAAGAAGACCTGAAAGCAGCACAAGGAAGGGGTAGAGGAAACACTGGCAATAGTCAGAGGAGAAGAAGAAAGTTTACATGGTAGCATCTGCTGCATGGCCAAGCAAACTTGTAGGGTAAAAGCTTCAAACAAGCACTAAAAGGACCAGGCTCTGGTACCTGTAGATAAGTAATCAGCATATCTTGCATTCTGAAGCCAAAGTTCATGATGCTACTCTGTTTTGGTCATGCACAGAAGAGTATTCGCAGGACAATATATCAGATAGAAGCTGGCTGGAGAGAATTAGTTTACAGAGCCTTCTTCAGTGCCTTGATTTTTCCCTGAATGTGTAGCATGCTCAGTGAAATGACACTCACAGGGCCTTCACACCTCATGCTGCTCTTTTGGATATGCTCTCTCCTCTGGTGTGAAGAGAAGTCTTTAAAATGAAAAGGGGGGTTCCCCATTTCAAAGGCTTGTTTTTTGTATGGGGATTGGTGATAGTAGGATACCTGTTTCTGAATGAGCTCCTGACCCTTTTCTGGGTGCATCTGTACCAAGTTCAGCTGAGGAGATACCGATCTCCGGAAAGGATAAATATCACGAACATAGGTCTGCAAGGAGAAGAAATCGTAGAATTTATTTTATGAGAATGGATTTGTAACAGCAACAATAAAGAAAAGACTTTTCAGCAGGGAGTAGTGACTTGATATGGATACAATAAGAATGCCCCATTCCCTGCATAAAATCCTTTAGCCTTTTGCTATTCCATCTATACCAAAGCAAAATGATTTTGAGAGTCCAAAATACTTGAGTAGGATCCTTCCATTATGGCAAAAAGGTTGCGTAAGAACCTGAGCAGAATGGAATACAGATTTGCTTCTCTGCCCAGCTACACTTTAGAAATATCTGAAATGACGGTTTCCACATCACCTTCTTTCTAGAATGTTAGAACCTGCAATATCCAGAGCCTTCAGCTGGATTCCAGAAATGAGGGCACCACATGCCAGGACAATGGCTACGCATAACCCTCTCACTAATCTTTGGCCACCCATAACATCTAGGAAGGCTTAGCAAAAAGAACATCACCTGGGCCAGGCCCTTTGCCTCACCTTGTTGTAATGAATAAGGTTCCATCGTTTATCCATTAAAAAATAATGAGAAGACTGGGTTTCAGGTATATTAAAAAATTCCAAGCACTCCTGAGGAGGGAAGAAAGAAAAACCACCTCATTATTCATTAACTATGTTATATAGCAAATTTTATAAGCATGATTAAAGGGGACTGATCCCATATACTTTAGGCAGACACACAGTTCTTCCATTTAATTCTCCCCCCCACATTTTACGAGTATATAAATATATTTTCACTGCTTCCAGACTGTTTTGGGCTCTGGGACTGACACTATCTGTGTTTATCTCCAGAAGCTGCCTCCATGCCCATCCTGTCTGCATAGCTAGATTATCATATGGGTATCTTTGCCTTCAGGACCACAGTATATTAGTCCTTCTCACCTCATATCCCTGTTTACTAAACAATCCTAAAGAAGAAGACTAAAGCCCAGATCCTAAAAGAGATTTAGGTGCCAATTCCCACTGAAATCAATGAGAGTTAGGTGCCTAAACACCTTTGCGGATCTGGATTGTAGTGGCATGCTCAAGGTCATCCTGGAAACCTTTGGGAGAGTATGGAATTTGAACATACGTCTCCCATATCCTAGGAGCTATTTGGTTTCACTTCCTCTTCTCCCAACCCTAAGTTCTTGACTGAAACAAAAAACAGAGGCATCTGCTATAAAGTGACGGATTCAGGACTGAACAGGCTACTGAATAGTTTTCAGATAGGAACAGGTATTTAGTTCATTTCTGCATTAGTTGACAAAGCTTGGTCAAAGAGATGACAATTTCAGCTATTTAAAACTAATTTATCCAACAAGTATCTATTAGCTAGTAGTATAACTAGGGGTGGGGTGACTGGGGCAGCACCCTGAACATCAAGGTAAAATAGCTGCCACCACAGCCACACAATTGTGCCAGAAGCATGGCAGCAGCCAGAAGTTGTCATTCTCTCCCCATGTTTTGCAGATGCCCTGGGTGCCCAGCTGCTTTGTTACACCTCTGTTACTAGCTGTTATTTGTTGGGACTATTTAAGGGGTGTTACATGGCAATCGAATCTCCTATAACTCTTAAGGTGGGATCCAACTTTATCAATCAGTCCCTCTTCAATGGTTTTTGCAGTAGTGATCCTCTTGCTTAGGATAAAGGAGGCTGTCAACACAGTTTCCAGCTCACAGAAATAGAAAGGTTCTTAAGAATCTATTTCTACTGCACAGATGTAATAGGAAACTATAGCTGAAGGAATCATTACAGAGCTTTGCCAGTTAAAAAACACTCATTCCCACCTTCAGAAGAGCTTCAAATTGTGTGTCCTCATGTACAGGTAGCTGGGTTGGGATGTCACATTCATTCTGCCCATGCACTACCAAGGTCTTTGTGCCTACAGGAAAGAAGAACATTTATTTTTCTCTCCCCCCACATATTAACGTCATAAGCTATTTCAAAGAAACTTCTAACTGAGTAAAGGGAATAAGTGAAATCACTCACTGGCAGAAAGCCAACACAAGTCCCATTTGGAACCCACTGCACAAACCTAGAACAAATGTATAATTTCCATGTAATGAGAATTGATCTTTTCTAGAGGATTAAATTGACTCTAACTGTAACAGTTACTCCAAGGAGAAAAGGTGTCTAAAAAGACAAATCTGTTTTTCACAGAGCAATCTCTTGCCTGGCTCATATGCCTTCTTGTTACCTCCAGGCATTGCCAAGATTTAAACTGGAGGGCACCTCAAGCTGAACTGCTTTTGAATGGCAAAGCCTTACAATGATCAGACTCAGAAGTCCTGGAGGCTTGAATAACATACATCTCACTATTGAACAGATTGTTCTGATTTCAGCCTTTGTTTAGTTGCCAACAAAGCTCTGTTTGACTGTTTAAGAATCAACATGGAAATTAAGAGTCCAAAATTCAAGGAGGATTGGCTTAAATATCATTTAAATTTGGCCACACTGATAAATCTCAAACTGGCAAGTCTGCATTTTTATGGTATAGGAGCAATAAACAAAATTGCAAATATGGAAAAAACTAAAAGATCTTCAAGTTCAAAGGCTATGAATGTCCATACCTGGCATTGAGGCAGTCACCAGCAATTTTACTTCACACTGCTCCTTCTTCATAGTCTGCTTCAGATCTTTGAAGAACAGGCCCTCTACATAACCCACCACTTCCCACAGGAAGGTCAGAGTTGCTGAAATGGCATCCATGCCCCATTCGCATGGGGTACGTACAAAATACATGATCAGTCCCACCTGCAGGGCACAGAGGAAAAGGTAACATTTCAGATACCATTTTCTGCACATCACACTGTTTTTATTGCATTATCTCTGTGTTAGCCAATGCTGTATCACAGAGTCATCATTAGACCCTACTGGTCTGATGAGCCATTGTGCTACGATTAACTGAAATCAAATATGTTGATCAGCTGCACATAGGAACTTTGTTATTTGTACTATAGCAGTGTCTAGGAGCCCCAGTCATGGACTAAGGACCCCACTGTAGGATGTACTGTGCAAACCCAGGACAGAGAGGGATCCTCTAGCACTTTTCTTCACTCTGAGAAGGCTCAGAGCCTGAAAAATTCAGGTCACTTCACATATCCACACCCACTGCAAACCTGTAAACTTTCTGCCTTCTTTTGTTTTGGGTAATGGGTGTCACTCATGCAGTTGCTAATTCAAAACAACCTGAAGAACAGTTCAGCACTGGGCAGATGGGTGACTGGGGAGGAAGCTGCTATGGTCCATAGCATCCTAGCCCCATGGGTTAAAGGTAAATGAAGGACACATGTAGCAATGGTTGTGTATGTCCTGTCCTTCAAGGCTCCCTGTGCAGTACTAGGCAGGGAGTTCAGATGGAAAAGAGTTGCAGGTTGTATGGCCTGTCACATCTAAGCTCCCCAGCAACACAGCAGGACTGCAGCAACGGTGCTACGCAAGGTTCACATACAGCCAGAAGGGTGTGTAACAAGAAGCTCCTTGTTGCCAGCACCACCCATTTTGTGCACTTCTTTTTCCTTCTGAGTATTGGCAGAGACCTAGCACACTCATTGCATGTGTGTGGCAAGGCTCAGAGAAAGCCAGAAAGCTGAAGTGGCTTTCTGTAGGAGAAACCTAGAAACTGCATCTACATATCAATTAAGCTCGGTGACACTAAAGAAAACTAAAGAACTAAACTATCCACTTCAAAGACTGTAAATATATCCTGGTGCTAACCTAACTCACTTACTGTCCCCAGTAGCCTTTGATCCTTACTACCTCACATTGCATTTTTATACATTTCTCACAGTGCATTTTTATATTTCATCTGTCTTATCTTTACCCTGGCATTCAGTATTTTATATTTTATATACCTTTTAACTTTTAACAAATGTATTTTACTTTAAAGTAAAGTTATGCTTTGTATTACTAGAACTATTATTGTAAGAATGCATTGGAATTGTAATCACTGGAATTGTATTGCTGTATTGGGCTGGTCCCCCTGAGTGGATGCAAGTATGTATGAATCAGATAACTGAAAACAAAGCAAAAGCCTCTGGCTATTAATTAACAATAGCCTAGCCAAAGGAACTTACCATTACAAAAGTCTACTTGTCAAGCCATTTTAGGCTTACCAAGCCAAGAAACTGAGCACCCACCCTATTGACTATTCCTGCAACGCTTAACAATACCATTGTTAAATTAATTAAAATCACAAACTGACTCCCAGAACTGCACGTACGGGCAGGTGAGACCCCTGTGACTAACAGCTGTCAGGTACTACTCAAAACCCATGTGGGACAGTGACCTCTGGATTTGGCAGCCAAGATAATGCTGGGGGATCACACAAGTCTGCCAGAAAGGGATAAAAGGCAGTGAAGTGTGACCCTCAGTGGTGCCCTCTCATTCAGCACCTGACCTACCAAGGCAGAAGGACAAGCAGGCAACCCCCTTCTGGAGATGACATCACCTTGAAGAAAGCTGACCATCGACAGAAGACTCCAGGGCCTCAGATAGGTAGATATACAACTCCAGTGCTCTCACAATCACTACAGCAGTTACTACACACTATACTACATGGGTTTAAATGAGTGAGTGCATGTGTGCGCGCTAAGGTGACCAGTACCCCTCATAACTCAAAGTTTGCATTTATGATTTTATTGGTAACTTCACATCTTGTACAATAAACTAGAATTTATTATGATCCTGAGAGTTGGTCCTTTGTAGCCAACAGGTGGGGCTAGATTTGCCCCAAAGAGTCAGAGCATTTCAAGGGCCTAAATAAAGTGAAAATTATATATTTTCACTTCAAGTCTTCCAAGCGCTGATGTCTGGTTCCTTCCACTGACTTATGGCTCCCCTTCCATGATCATGACTCATTTCAGATCCAGGACAGGAGCAAAATGATAAGCTAACAAGTTCAAAATAAAAGGAAGAAAAACTAGAAATCTGTACAAGCAAGGTTATACTGTCAGCAGCTGCAGTTGTGATGTGCAAAAATGAATGTTAATATGCAGGAAATACTCAAGGGCAATCATTTCCTGCTAGACTGTGGCATTTGTATTTGGGAAACTTGCAGTGAGACAGCAGATGTATGGGCTGCATGCTGGTGCCAAGAGCTACTCACCAAGTAGTTAAAGAGGATATGAGATGTCTGGGCAGGAAAGTCTCCGATGTTTAGTAGAAGCTTCCTCAGCATGTACATCAACTCATCCTGAAAGAAGGGCAAAGATTTTTCTTTCATTTCCATCACAACATAGTATGTGTTTTCCTTCCTGCCTTGTTTGTTTCCATCCCACCCACAACCCTTGAGCTCTCTGTGCATGAAATGGAACCACTGGCCTACAAGTGTGTTTGGGATACTCAGTGGAGGGACAAAGGCACCTACATCCTGGATGCAGCATAAAGACTGTTGACTTGCAAACTGTTTCACATTGTGTGTTGCCTTTTTACTTTAGAGGTATTGTTGAGGATATGACCTTTGGCAGCTTTCAGCCTCTAGTTCTGACTTATCTCCTTCTCTGCAATAACTCTAGTTCTTCCCTAGCATGGAAAAGTACTATTAGGACAACACTGGAGAGACTATATGAAAAGTAACTTGCTTTAATGCAACAGTTGTGGCCACTTGGTAATACTCTCCATTCTATCTTAGACCCTCTGTTGCTTTCTTCTGAGGTGTTAGCTGGCAAACAGCCTTAAAGCAGGGATCAACAACACTTACAAACCATGGGCTGGAACAACTGGGCCTCAAGCTGGTGCTGGCCAGGTGGCTTCTCCAGCTTTCTGCCTGCTCCCTCCTCCCTTCTGGAGTGTAAGCAGTTTCCAGCCAATGTAGAACTGAGGCAGGACTGGGTCCAGGGCTGGGTGCCTGGGAGCTGCACCTATGCCACTGCCTCTTCTCCATGCAACCTGGCTCCCCAGCTGTAATGTAGGCACAGCTGAAAGCTGCCTAGCCCCAGCTCCCTTCCCCATTACTGAAAGTGCTGGCTGCACTGAAGCCACGGGGAGAGGGGCAGAGAGAAGCAGTGGTGATATGGGCTGCAGGCTTCATGTTGCCAACCCTTGCCCTGATGGACCACTCATCACTGAAAGTAGATGGAACATCATACTTTGGTTCCTCTTATTTCCAGCCTCTAGGACTTCCCATCCCCTGCTCCATCTTGCCCCCTGCTCCAAGGGCATGACTATGTATAGGGAGTAGCCATGCCATTTCTACACCTGCTGAGGCAAATTTCAGGGTGAATGCATGGTCTCTTCTCCCTTTGTGCTGCTAAGGCAGTGCAAATGTAGTGGAGTGAACTAGAGAATTTGTACTTAGCTATTTATTTCCTTTGCTTCATGTCCTTAGGATTCTAAATCTATTAACTTACTCATTTGCAGTTTGTTGAGCTAATAATATAAAACAGGGGTGACAAAGACACAGTCCATGGGCTGAATCCAGCCCGTGGAGCCCTATCATTCATCTGCAGTGCTGCCTGTGGGTCTCACACTGGCCCCGTGTGCCACATGCAGCATGCACTGGCCACAGGCAAGTTGCACATACTGAATCCAGTGCACAGGGCCAGTCCAGTGTAGGTGCCACATGCTGAATGTGCCCCAGGCTACTCCCATGCTGTGCAGGGCTGGGGCCAGCACATACTGCACTTGGTGTGCAGGGCCTGTCTGACGCGGGCTGCATATGGTGCCTGTGCTGGACTAGCCATGCACACTGGATCGGGGCTGGTCTGTATCGGGTCCATAGACCAGTTCTATGGCCTGGATCCAGCACGCAGTGCCAGTCTGGTGTGAAAGCCACATGCAGTGTGTGCTCCGGACCAGCTCCGTGCAGCATATGCACATGCGCCCCAGACCCGCCCCACTCACCACGTGCCACATGCAGGGCTGGGGCTGGGGCCAGCGCATGCTGCATGCAGTGTGCAGGGCTGGAGCTGGGGGCATGCACTGCATACTCACCGGCCCAGCCCTATGTGCTGGATCTGGCACAGGGAGCCGGTCTGTGGGCCCAATCCAGCCTGCAGACTGGCCCTGTGCCCTTCTTCCGGCCAGTGGGGCCAGATGAGTTTGGTACCCCTGATATAAAATATGATAACAAATTGGTATATGTTACTTCCTGAATTGCTCCCTACCCTGCCTTCTGCCTGACTTCAGACTAACACAGCTACCTTTCTACTCCTTAAATGCTACATTTCAGAACTGTTTGGTTTGTTTTTTTTCAAAAGCCACAGGCCTGATTTTAACTTCCATTGTGCTTTAACTCAGTGTAACGTCTTTTACTTCAAGGCAGCCACTCTTGTGTCAGGACAGCAGAATTATTTCCCAATTCCTGTACAAGATGTGTGGAAGCAGAAGAAAAAGGGAAAGCAGTGGAATAAAGATGAACAACTTGAACCACAGCCGTATCCTGTGTAATTTAGCACAGCTGGCTGTGTGGAACAAGGCTGATTTACTCCAGCTGAAAGGCTGGCTCCTTCTCTTTTCCATTTTGATCACTTTCATTTTCAAATGTCCCTAGTCGAGTTTTTAAAGTTTTCCTACACTGGTAGGGCCCTCTACCATCAACTGGCAATTCCCTGTTTCAAGCATCATGGGAATTCCAGCATTTTATTTTTCTTTCTACTGCAAAAACTGGCAGGGCATTTTAAACATCAAATAACATTAAAGTAACACTAAAATAAATGGGCCAGATGACTATAATATCTCAGACACCTGGTGCTGCTCAACAGGGCAGTCAGAGCTGGAAGAGAAACAACTTTTTTTTTTAACAACTAGGTTGCTTAACAGATATCAGTGGCTGTTTGGGCTGACCTTCAAAAGATACTTCCTCATCCATCCTTCACCCTAAATGAGAAGTACTGCAGATAGCTAGGTCTCTGCAAACTAAAGATTCAGAACAGAAGTAGAAAGGCTTCTTGTGCCTGGTGGTTGCAACAGCACTATTATTATTCAGATAGTGTTAGAAATACACATGATATTGTCATGAGTGGTATTTACACACTCCTGAGAGGTGTATGGTACTTTAGATGTAGTTCCCTGGTGCATGGAGTTTATATTATAAACTAGACATAGCACAAGAAAGTATAATAAATCAGGGGAGAAGACGACTGCATCTATGCTTCTTCACAGTTAAATTGATGGGCATAGATAGAGCTAGGTTTATTTACATTGCTGAGGAGATCTAATGCAATATGGTTCACTAAAAGGCTAATAATACCCGTGATGTTGGATGTTCAGGGCCAGATACTTACCTAACATAAACCAACAGCTCACCATTGACTTCACTGATGTATACCAGCTGAGTTTCTGGCCTTCAATTTTCTAAGTCATGTTACACTTTTAATTCTTCTCCAGTTATTACCCCTTAACTGATTCTACTTGTACCGACATTTCCGTACACTAAGGCAGGGGACAGACATTACACTTGTACCAATATAAGTGATCAGAAACTGGTCTATACCTGTAACACAATAGAAGTTCAGCACGCAAAACTGGTCTATATCCACAACAGAACAGAGGGCGCAGATGATTTTTGCCCGATCTGGCCACAGAAAGCAGTTTATAGCTGTGACCAAACACAAGTGCACAGCTGCAGACAGCTTCAAAAATGGCTGATTGGGTGAAAATCTGCCCCCTCATTGCATGAAGTGTCAGATGAAGATGTTTCAAAATGTAGCTTGTGTAATTTGTGTCTGTGGAGTTCCCAGCCTGTTGCTGTTTTCAGAACGGGAGTGGGGAAAGGGAGCAGAGGGCGTTCAGTCTGGGTTTTTTTCAGCCCCTCCCTGGAAGGTGGGGCAGATGTATTAGAGCCTCCACCCCCATGGTGGGGGGTGGGGGGTGGGCTCCAATTCACCCCTCCCCACCCTTCAGCACCAGCTGGGGAGCCCCAAGAATGAGATCCCTCTGCTGCCTTTCCCCCCTCCCATTCTGAAAACAGTAAACACTGGCAGAGAGCCTTGGACATTGCTAAGGGAACCTGGCTGCATCTGGCTGGGAGTCTGCTGTTTCATCTGGGGTAATGTAACTCAGAATGCTTTGCAGAAAATGTTCTGAGTTATAGTGGGGAATTGCACTTCTGTCTGTACCCATCAGTTTGGCTCACATAGACTGGTTTAAAAATGGCAGAAGCCAGGTGCAGACAGAAATGCAGCTCCCCGCTGTAACAGAGAACGCTTTGCAGGAAGTGTTCTGAGTTATAATGATCCCTTGGAACAAACCAGAGTTCACCATTGGTTCCAGAAGGGAGGGGAATCTAGCTGCTGGCTGGGAGTCTGCAGCCAGTTTCCCCTAAAAATGGCCCCTGCTAGGCTGTAAAGTCTTCAAAATGGGAGTGGCGGGGGAAGGGAGTAGAAGAAGCTTGTTCTCATGGTTTTCCAGCCAGCGCTGGAGGGCAGGATGGATGAATTGGAGCTCCCCCACCTCAGGGGAGGGGGGAAGATGGGTACTCCAGTACACCCGCTTCAACCTCCAGCGCAGGCTGAAAAACCCCTGAGACTGAACTCCCTCTGCTCCCTTTCCCCCTCCCATTCTGAAAACAGCTCAAGACTGCCAGGGAGGCAGATAGAAGTTACAGAAGATGCTCTGTTTTGAGATGTCTTCATTTGACCTGTCATACAAGGAGGGGTCAGATTTTCACCCAATCAGCCACTTTTGAAGCTGTCTGCAGCCATGCACTTGTGTTTACTCATGACTATAAACTACTTTCTGTGGCCATATCGAGCAAAAATTATCACTTCTGTTTGTGCCCTAAGATTTGCCACTCTTCTCTGCCCTCCCCCACCAAAGGGTGAATGTGTGTTCTGTTCACTGCCAATCTAAACTACACCACTTACAGAAAACTGCCTAACTTAGATCAATTCTGCTTCAGTCCTTTTGACTGTCTGTACCTAGCCTAAGCGATATAGACACCTTTACATAATGTGCCTATTAGGAGAAAAGAGTCCTACCTGTCGATTGCTTATTGTGAGTTTCTCCAGGAAATGCCGCAGAACTGTTGAGGGATCTTCAATCAGGCAGTTCCATAAGACTTGCTGAGCCACAGCACTCACTGTACAAGAGAAAGAAAGAGAACCAGTCTTCAGAGGGAAAATTTGTATGAAAATGTTTCTAACATCCATTGCTATTATTATTATTTGTATTACCATATCACTTAGGAAACCTAATTATAAATTAGGCACTCTATGCTAGGTGCTGTGGCAATGCAGAACAAAAGGATGGTCTAGCTAATAGGGCTGTGTGAGGCTTTGGACCATGCTTCGGATCTGGAGAAGATTCGGATGCTTTGGCGTCCAAAGCAGCATGTCCGGATCGAAGCGCTGGCTTCTTTAGGCTTTCCAAAGCGGTTCGGAGCTTTGGAGAGCAGGAAGCCTGCTAAGTGTCAAGAAGATAGGTGCAGGAGTTTGGGGGGAACTGCACCCCAAATTCTTGAAAGAAAAACTCATGTCATGTGTACATGTTACACCACAGGGGGGTGAAAACTGCAGGGGTGGTGGCCCCTGGTGAGGCCACAAAGCCTGACAAGTTTCAAGAAGATAGGTGCAGGGGTTTGGGGGAAACTGCACCTCAAGCTGCGGACAAGCAAAACTCATGACATAGATGAGTGTGTTAACACCGCAGGATAAAAACTGCAGGGATGGTAGCCCCTGCTGAGGCCACAAAGCCTGCCAAGTTTCAAGGAGATAGGTGCAGGGGTCCGGGGGGAACTGCACCTCAAGCTGCTGACAGGCAAAACTCATGACATAGATGAGTGTGTTAACACCGCAGGATAAAAACTGCAGGGATGGTAGCCCCTGCTGAGGCCACAAAGCCTGCCAGCTGTCAAAGTGATAGGCACAGGGGTTTCTGGGTTCTGGGGCCCTGCACCTCTAGCTGCTGACAGACAAAACTCATGACATGGGTGCTTGTGCAACTGACTGTGTCTTTCTTGGGGCAGTTAATGAGTTAATTAGCAAGGATTAACACCTACAAAACCACATACTAAGGAGAGGAAATATTCAATACAATCAACTGTCCCAAGACAGACAAAGGCAGTTGCACAAGCACCCATGTCATGAGTTTTGTCTGTCAGCAGCTAGAGGTGCAGGGCCCCAGAACCCCCTTGCACCTATCTCCTTGACAGCTGGCAGGCTTCATGGCCACAGCGGGGGCTACCATCCCTGCAGCTTTCAACCTGCTGTGCCTTAACACACGCAGTGTCACCCATGTCATGAGTTTTGCTTGTCTGCAGCTTGAGGTGCAGTTTCCCCCAAACCCCTGCACCTATCTCCTTGAAACTTGGCAGGCTTTGTGGCCTCACCAGGGGCCATCATCCCTGCAGTTTTCACCCCCCTGTGGTGAAACACGTACACGTGACATGAGTTTTGCTTTCAAGAATTTGGGGTGCAGTTCCCCCCAAACCCCTGCACCTTCTTGAAACTTGGCAGGATTCATACCCTCAGCAGAGGCTACCACTCCTGCAAGTTTCATCCAAATCAAACAAAAAACAACAAAGTTATAGATATTTAACTGATTCCCCATTATACCCTATGGCTGGATCTTCATGGCAGCTCTGAAGCTTCAGAGCCACTTCAGCCAGATCCAAGTGGGAAACCAATCTGGAGCTCTGGATCAGATTGCTGACATCTGAAGCAGCTGGATCCAAAGCCAGATCAAATAGCTGCCTACTTACACAGGCCTACTAGCTAATCATGCTTCCAAGCACAGCATGTTAACTGCTAGGTTATGGAGAAGCTACATTTCCTGGCCCTTCTCTGTTATACGCTTTAGCTGCTTTTCCAAACCCAACAAAAATGTCTGTAAAAAATTATCAGTATGCAAATGGTTCATGAGGTGAAATTATCCACCGCTTTTTAAAAAAAAATATGAATCACAATTAATTGACTCTACAGTATCATTTATCCATTTTGTCATATGTTGTGTCATGTTGTAATTATTTATGGCCAATATTTAGGTAGCCACCAAATGTTTGTGTAAATGCTGATCAGCCTCAAAATATTATGATAATAGAGTTCTAACATTTGAATCTTTCCAAGCCCTGCCTGTTGTGCTAAAGGAGGTGCTTAAAAAACTCAGCTGGAGAACTAATAAAGAGGTGAACCTTAAAGAACAAGAGAACTTTCATATTCCTGATTCCAGATGGCCAATTATTGAATTCACAAACATTTTTGTGAATAAAAGCTCCAATTTGTTATGATTTACTGGGTCATGCTTTCTGTTATTCCTGGTCATTCTTCAGAAAGCCACCAAGCATCTGTGAAAAGGTTAGCTGACTGGAAAACATTAAGGATTTTAGTTATCTGAAAATTTACATTAGTGGAATAGTTTTCAGTGACTCAGTCATCCAATGAAGAAGCAAGTCACTGCTTTATACTCAGTGACCCCTACACATGATTAACAAAAGCTCTGAGCAACTCAGAGTCTGAAACATTTGGGAACAGCTACAGTTCATAATCCATGAGCACGTAGGAATTCTGGGAACAAGTCTGTGGATCATTCTGAAACCAGAAAGGACTTGAACCAAGTATGGCTGGTGCATTTGTTGTTCAAAAACAAAGAAAGAAAAGACAAAACAACAAAAGATCAGGTATATGGTCACACTATGCTGAGGACTCATTTTCTAACAGGTTAATGAACGATTAATAGACATTTTAATAAAATATTAATACATTGTTCTGGAGCTAAACAAGTCAATAACTGCTTCTTAAATGATGTATTTGTAAAGAACTAGTTCTTAACTGATTTATTTATTTATAAATCCTTCTGCTGATGTCCTTATAAAAATATGTAATATCATACACTACCCTGAGGTTACCTTTTGTATTGAATAATAGTAAAAAAAAACAACCATGGTCAAATGTAGCATATATATCTAGTGCTCCTTTTATACCTCTAGTTATTATGCCTTACTGATGTAAGCTATGATTAAAATTGCTAGAGCTTTCCATAACCTCTGACTAAGAGGCCATAAATGTTTAATCTAAATCCATACCTGCGACTCCATCCTCCCGGACTTCTCCATCTTCCATCAAATGGACAATGGGGAGCACAGCTGCACAGATGCATGCTGGGAACACTGCCTGGGGAGGCTGGGGCACATGATGATTTGGAGTATGCTCTGTAGTGTGTTCCTCATCTACAGCAGTGAGAAGTATGAAAGGTTGGGATTTGCAGATATCAAGTCAAGCTAAAGGTCCTCCCAAGCCTGTGAGCTCACTGAGCTATTGGGATTAAGGCATCAGTTTCTATAACCGTTGATACACAGGGCATAATATGACTAGCCTTTGGCTTTGCAGCCTGAACGACTACTGCCCATTCAATGCTGGATAGACTGGAGAAAGCCCTTGTCATGACTGAGGCTTCAAACTCATGCCTTCTGGAGCAAAAGCTGGATGCCACAATGCCCCATTAGCAGATGGACTACACATAAAATCCTATTAAATTACAATTTTGCCTGACAGCATTCACTGTTACATCCTTAATGAAACACTGACATTTAAGAGAAGGTGCTGTAAGCATGGGAATAAACAGTTGTCTCATAATGCATGACACCCAGTATTTCAGAATTGCTGAAGCTTGCAACCAGATCTGACAACAGGAAGGCATTACTTTGGCCAAGATCACAGAAAGTGAGACATTATGTGGCAGTGCAAAAAAGGGCTAAAGAACTGAAATGCTGAGAGAGGGGAATTAAAAACAAATGCAAAGCTAACCCACCTTCATTACTGACCGCTGAACGCACTGACCAGACAGAGCCACGACGGAAGGAATAGTTCCTGTGAGAAGTGCTAGATGTGCAAGAGGGACTCACAGAGAGCCGGCGGGATGCCAGGTTGGCAACTTCTTCTACTGACAAAGAAAGCAGGAAATGTGAATTTATGTCTATAAATCCATCTGACATAACTCAGGGCACTTAGAAGTTAAAACCAACCAGCCACCTTGAGGCAGTGAAAAATTCAAAGCAGGCTACAGACCAACTAGATCTTTTTTTTCCCCCAATGACTCAGGAGTGATCGAGTCCTTTGCTAAGTCAAACTGTAACTGACTGGATGACAGGGCTCTAAAAACGATCCTATATCCTAATGAGCTACACTACTAGGCTATTTGTTATGCTTGCTTTAGGTAATGCCCAGTTATACTTGCAATGCAATTACTCTGTTTACAGATTTCCCACTGCATAAGGTGCTCAGAACACCAGAGTATTTGTTTATTGCATGAGCTCTTACAGTACATTGAAGTAACTCTCTCTAGTAGGACCTTATCTGGCAAGGGGTTGAGTGCCTCTGTGAGGTGCCAGGTGCAAAAAATTCCCACTGGATTTAGTGGGACCTGGGGACACCCCGAAAGCACTCAGTATTTCACTTTTTTGCACTTTTACTCTAATAAGGACTCACTACACTTATTTCTCATTCATTTTCAACCTTAAAGATTGTGACATGGTTGTCTCACATTTTTGTGATGTTGGTAAAATGATTCAGAAGCAGTTTGATGACACCAGGGGCGGGCAATTATTTTGGGCAGAGGTCCGCTTACTGAATTTTGGCAAGTCATCATGGGCCGCATGACAGGCAGCCCAGGGCAGATAAATATTAATTTTCTAAAAATTTTAAGGGTCCTCTGGGCTGGAAAGAATGGCCTGGCAGGCCGCATCTGACCCTTGGGCTGCATTTTGCCCACCCCTGGATGTCATGGTTTAAAACAGTGAGCCTGTCATAAAGCAGGCTCTGCATTATCAATAACAAGCATTTTCTTTCAACATGTGGCATCCCTAAGAAATGTTCCACAATGGAAGCACATGCTTGTGGGTCCCAGGCAGGCAGTTTCTGGCTCTGAAGCACACCTTCCTCCTCCTGCTCTGAATTTGGGTTGCAGGTGGGCTCATAGCATGCCTCCTGGGTGATGGGAATGGCAGTGATCAGACTGGCCTCCCGGCCCAGGCGTTTCTTTTCCTCCTCTTGCTGTAGGTTCTTCAGGATATGCTCTGCTCGCTGATGAGAACGTGACACTGCCCGGGCCGAAAATGACTTCTTCCATGAAAGCAAGAGAAAGAAACTGACTTGAAGCAGTCAGTTTTGCAAGTCATACATGCAAATCTCCTGTAATGTTTAATAATTATTATACAAGCAAAATAAGTGGAAACTGAACAAGAGACACGCAAGGGAAAACTTGGTTTAATTTAATATCTTAGGGCACAACACAGTTACACTAGTGTAATTTGTACTAGCTTTGTACACCACTGGATTCCAAAATCATGGGCAAGCAGCTCTCCTGGGGCTGCTGCATTCAGAAGGCGGCTATTACAATGTCTCACCACTAGCTGAGAGGGAATCACATATTAGTTTTTTTGCCTTTAGCAAATTGTTACCCTGGGATAAAATGTGGACACATGGCACACACAACAGTAAAATTTACACCAGTGTAATTTTACTTCCAATTTTTACACACAGGTCAATTATACACAGGTAAATGTATCTCATGCCCCTGACCTTTGTCTCTTGCTGACCAAATGGAAAAGTATTAAATTCCTATAAAAATTCTGGT